AGCCTCCTCTATATCTTTAACCATTTCTCAGCATGCTCCCTCTACTTCTGTTTATTGCTAAAGCTAGTCTCTTCCTCAAGTCATTACCTCTCCTACAGAACTCTGTAGTGTTCCTAATTCATTCAATGGAAAGTATTTACTGAGCACCTATTACGTACAGAGCACTGCAGTAGACACGGAATGAAGAGTAAGCAAGACAGCCCCAGCCCCTGACCTCATGGAGTTTCAGCCTCATAATCACTGTTTCTCTACCTAATGTAGAGAAAACAAAATCACCCTCTGTCTGAAGCTCAAAACACAGGGCTCTATTACCCTGCAACTTGCCTGCTATTGGCATGTGGCTGTCTGGTTCAGCCAATTCCTTACTTATTTGTGGACTGTGGAGACTGGTGCAGTGTTCTCCACAAGGTCCTGCAATCATTTAGGACAAATAAACATTTCTGTGGGTGACCATGGGTCCTCCAGCTCTAAAGACTTTCACCTCTAGTTCATTCTGCCATTTGATTCTATGGCAAGACCACAGATCTTGTTTGTTCCTTTTCTGAAATCTTAAGCTCAAATATACTCTCAGATCATCCTTTCTGGTAATTCAAAACCTCACTTCCATATACTTCTACTTCAGCCTCACTGAGTTCCTGAATTCTGTGATCTATTTTCTCGAAAGTTATGTTATTCTCTCTGGTCTCACTTCCTTCCCAACAAGCCTGTAATAGTTTCATTGAATTCCTTTTATAACTGCATTTCTGCTGCATCTGTTAATTTTTTTTTTTTTTTGAGACAGAGTCTCACTCTGTTGCCCAGGCTGGAGTGCAGTGGCACAATCTCAGCTCACTGCAACCTCCACCTCTGGGGTTCAAGTGATTCCCCTGCCTCAGCCTCCAGAGTAGCTGGGACTACAGGCGCATGCCACCATGCCTGGCTAATTTTTTTTTTTTGTATTTTTTTTTAGTAGACACAGAGTTTCACCATGTTGGTCAGGCTGGTGGAACTCCTGACCTCAGGTGATCCACCACCTTAGCTTCCCAAAGTGCTGGGATTACAGGTGTAAGCCACTGCACCCGGCCTGTTATGTTAATTTTTAAACTTAGACCACCAAATCTGTAAGTTAATTTCTTTTACTGTGACTCAGTGCTGTTGGAGAAAACTGCAAAATTTTTCAAGTAAAATCAAGACTGACAACTGACCACTAAAGTTAACAATACGGTGGTCACTGATGACTCTTGATAAGCAGGAATTCGAAACAGGTACAGATTTAACCAACAACTCTTTTAACAAATATTGCTAAGGGGAAAGGAAAAATAAGGAATCGCGAGAGGTGGAAAATAAGCAAGTTTAAGATGGGAGAAATACCAGCATGTTTATATGCTGATGGGAATGATTAAAGAAAAACTGATGATGCAGGAGAAAGGACAACTATAAGAGTATATCCTGGCCGGGCGCGGTGGCTCAAGCCTGTAATCCCAGGACTTTGGGAGGCTGAGGCGGATGGATCACGAGGTCAAGAGATCAAGATCATCCTGGTCAACATGGTGAAACCACGTCTCTACTAAAGATACAAAAAATTAGCTGGGCATGGTGGCGCGTGCCTGTAATCCCAGCTACTCAGGAGGCTGAGGCAGGAGAATTGCCTGAACCCAGGAGGCGGAGGTTGCGGTGAGCTGAGATCGCACCATTGCACTCCAGCCTAAGTAACAAGAGCGAAACTCCATCTCAAAAAAAAAAAAAAAGAGTATATCCTGCAGCAGGCAAAAATGGGATCTAGTACAAAGGATACAATCTAGTACACTGATGAAGGAACCAGACTTAAACAGGTGCTGTTCAACCTATATAATTTACTTATTATTTTATTATTTCCCTCCACACTAAAGTATAAGTTTTACAAAGACAGGGATTTTTGTGTGTTCTGCTATAAGCTACAATGATATTTGGCACAAACAGGCATGCAATAAATATCTGCTAAAAGAATGTAGTGGGCTCAAGAGTTAAGGGGTCAAGAAAGCACAAGTGCAGGTACCTTCTTTGTTTTCTGAGATGGAGTCTCGCTCTGTCACCCAGGCTGGCGAAAGCAGTGATGTGATCTCCACTCATTGCAAACTCTGCCGCCTGAGTTCAAGTGATCCTCCTACCTCAGCCTCCCGAGTAGCTGGGATTACAAGTGCACACCACTGTGCCCGGCTACTTTTTGTATTTTTAGTAGAGACGGGGTTTCACCATATTGGCCAGGCTGGTCTTATACTCCTGACATCAAGTGATCTGCCAACCTCAGCCTCCCAAAGTGCTGGAATTACAAGCGTGAGCCACATGCCCACCCCAAATGACTTTTTTTTTTTTTGAGACAGGATCTGGCTCTTGTCACCCAGACTGCAGTATAGTTTCATGATCATAGCTCACTGTAGCCCCGAACGCCTGGACTAAAACTCCCCTGCCTCAGCCTCTCAAGTAGCCAGGACTACAGGTTGACATAATTATCGGGGCTAATTTTTTTACTTTCTATTTTTGTAGAAACAGTGTTTCACTATGATGTCCAGGCTGGTCTCAAACTCCTGGCCTCAAGTGATCTTCCTACCTTGCCCTACCAAAGCGCTGGGGTTACATGCATGAACCACCACGCCTCCCAACACCACTCCCACCAACCCACCTTTTTAAAAGATGGGTGATATTAACAGCACGTTTGTGAAAATGACCCAGTCGAAGGAAGATCTGATGACGTATAAGAGAAAGGATGAGGCTGGAAGGACCTCACTGAATACAGGAAATAGTGCAATCAGAGGGACTCTTAAATAGGAGCATGGACAGTTCATCAATTTAACAGTGAAGCCAGAGTGTATGGGCAACTGTGGGGTTGTGGGGCTGAAAGAAATGTTAAGGGGGACAGGTGAGGTTCTCCTTTAAGTGCTTCTCTTTTCTTAATGAGATATATATTAAAAAACAAGTTAATCAGCTTAAAGTTAGAAGTGAGCAGGACAGATTGCAGGTGTAGGAGATGAGAAGAATAGAGTGCAAAAGAGTGATGCCTGGGCACTGTGGCTCATGTCTGCAATAGCGACGCTTTGGGAAGTGGAGGTAGGAAGACTGCCAGAGGCCAAGAATTCAAGACCAGCCCAGCAACATAGCAAGACCTCATCTCTAATTTAAAAATAAAAAATTAGCTGGGTGTGGTGGCTTGTGCCTGTACTCCTAGCTGCTCAGGAGACTGAGGTGGGAGAATCCCTTCAGCTCAGGAAATCGAGGTCACAGCGACACAACACTGTGCCCCAGCATTCCAGCCTGGATCAACAGAGGGAGATCCTGTCTCAACCAAAAAGAATATCTAAGGAAACACAGATTGGCAGTTTGAGAGATGAAAATTGAATGTAGGAGAATGAATGTCCAGGAAAACACGGTCAACATGACCAAAACACCTACTTTAGATTAGTGGACATGTATTAAAAGTGAGACAACTCGGCCGGGCACGCTGGCCTGTAATCCCAGCACTTTGGAAGGCTGAGGCGGGTGGATCACGAGGTCAGGAGTTCAAGACCAGCCTGGCCAGTATGGTGAAATCCCATCTCTACTAAAAATACAAAAATTAGCCGGGTGTGGTGGTGCGGGCCTGTAGTCTCAGCTACTCGGAAGGCTGTGGCAGAAGAATCGTTTCAACCCTGAAGGTGGAGGATGCAGTGAGCCGAGATCGTGCCACTGCACTCCAGCCCCGGCCACAGAGCAAGATTCCGTCATAAATGAATGAATTTTTCTCCAGCCACTCTCAACAGCCCTGAGTGCGGGTGTGGAATAGGAAAGACAGACTTAACGAGGTTAGTTAATAAGCAATGTGAAGGAGAGGAAAAAGAAAAGGAAAAATGGATCATGAAACATAAAATGGATTAGGAGGGAAGCAAAAAGCGTGACAATAAAAAGGCGGACAAAACTATGGAAGTCAGTGACTAAGGCTGTTTTTCGTTCCCGGACGTTCTGTCCCAGAAAAGTTTGGGTCAAATCTGTCAGGATCCCTAAACCACACATTCCACTCCTCCTTTGTCCGGAGATTTTACAGAGGCGGAAAGTGCGGCTCCCACTTGCTCCTCCTCCCCACTTTACTCCCATCTCTAGGAGTTTAGAGCCGGGCTATCCCAACGGGCGGCCCCTCCCAAAACTCACTGTTTGGACGGGTGTGGAGCGTAGCTAAGCGCCGACGAAGAACTTCTTTCCAGTCCATGGCCGACTCCCGCGCAGCAGCTTCTGCATTTGCTGTTTCCTACCCGCTCCACCCACTACCAGCTCGGGCGTCAGCACCGCCAGGCCCCGTAAAGGTTAGGAAGGCCACCGAACCGCCATCTTGAACTAGGGCGGAAGTCTTGACAAAAGAGGCAAAAGTGAATACTGTCGCTCCCGCGGAGAATACCGCTATCACGCTGACAGGGGGAAAAAAGCTATGAAAGAAATGGAAAATGGTCCCCTTCGGGAGGCGTCCCAAGCTCACCAAGAAAGTTTTTATCGGCCAGGATAAGCCCGCGTTTTCCTTTTTCGTGGGCCTTCGGCGCGTGCGCACCACGTGACCCAGGAATTAATTGGTTCCGGGTTGAGGGAAGCGCTTGCTTCCACAATTTCTTTTCATTGTTCATTGCAGATATCTGGAGGCCCTCCAGGTACCCTGAATGTAGTAGACGCTTCAGCAGCCATCTCTTACCCCTTTTGCCATTAAATGTTTCAAAATTGCCTTTTTCCCTTGCCGCCGGAACAGGCGGAACGCCTAAGTCCCGGTCAGTCTTGCCCGTCGACCGGGGCTGGCGCAGTGCATCGTGGGCACTGCAGTTTCCGCCGCGTTTATGGCGGTGTTAAATCTGAGTGCCGCATTGAGTTGTTGAATGAAGTGAACTTTGTCAGCGATCGGTATACAGTCAAGGCAGCGCCCTTCTTGGACCTCTCTTTCTTACCCGAGTCGTTGGCGCGGCTGACCCCCCCACCTCCTCCCTCCCATTTCCCCATCCGACGAGTTTTGCGGTCTGTGGAAAATTATGCAGGGTGAGGGCTCCTAGACTTTCGCTTTCGCTTCCATTGCTAGTGGGCTGGAGTTGGGGGCTCCTGGACACGGTTTTGGCTTTACACCCCCTTTCCAGCAAGTTTCCAGTGGGAATCTGTTCCTTTTCAGGACAGCTCTGACACACGTGAGTAAAACTGGGCGTTCCTTCTTGTGCTTTTTCCTTAGGTTCATGCACTGGAATATAACAAGCACCAGAGGATTCCTGCTCTGTCCCCTGGTTTGAGGCTTGCGACGTTGGACATCCCTGGATTGTTGTTTAACAGAGAAAACTCACCTGCCTTCCTGCGATTAAGAAGCCCCAAAAGCAGAACCTTGATTTGTCTGTAAGGAAGAAACACAAATCTCTTAAAAAGTTGCACTTCAACTCTCCACCGCCGACCCCCAATTTCTTTAATTTTGCTATAGAAGCGGGGGTTTTTCAGCACCTCTCTCACTATCTGGTGCTGATCTCACTGTATAATGACTTTCTGTTTGTTTGGTATTCAAAGCTTTCCTAAGCTTTGGAAGAGCAACCCATACCTTCAGCTAGGCTCAAGGCACTCTTATATCTCTCTCTTTCTGGCAGACCGCTGTGGCATCAGGAACCAACCGAGGTGGTTTTCTCTTAAAACAGTGTCTTCACAGGATACCAAAACAACGAATCTGGTTGCCAAGGCCAGATATCTCAGGAAATATAAGGGCAGTGATAATGAAGTTGCTTCTGATTCTCCTCATTTTTTTTCAGCTGGAGCAGCTAAGAAGAGATCACAGACGAATCCTCAAAGTAAAGATCATGACTTGTCACCTGTGAGGAACACTATTCAACTCCCAACTCAACCTTTGAATTCATTGGAGTGGGATAGACTTAAGGCAGATTACAAAGGAAAGACTCGTTTTGAAAGTTGGATCAGTTCACAGATGGCTCACTATCATAGCCCTGTAGATGTGGCTAAATCTCTGCTGGCATGGGTAGCAGCAAAAAATAATGGTATTGTAGACTATGATTTACTGGTCAGGTATTTGCATCTCTGTGTCGTTCATAAGCAGACATCTGAAGTTATTGATGTTTATGAAATTATGAAAGCCAGATACAAGATTTTAGACTCTGGAGGTTACACTCTTCTCATCCGGGGATTGATCCAGTCAGACAGATGGAGAGAAGCATTTTTGCTGTTAGAGGACCTGAAAAAAGTTATGACTCCTTCAAAGAAGAACTATGATGACTGTATCCAGGGAGCTCTCCTTCATCAAGATGTAAACACAGCTTGGAATTTGTATCAGGAATTGCTAGGTCATGATATTATTCCTATGTTGGAAACTTTAAAAGCCTTTTTTGACTTTGGAAAAGACATAAAGGATGATAACTATTCAAATAAACTACTAGATATTCTTTTGTATCTAAGAAATAATCATCTGTATCCAGGGGAATCATTTGCACACAGTATAAAAACATGGTTTGAAAGGTAATTTTGATTTTTTTATATGTATGCTATTATTTTTTTAATTTTTATTTGAGACAAGGCCTTGCTCTGTTGCCCAGGATGTAGTGCAGTGATGCATTCATAACTCATGGTAACCTCAAACTTCTGGCCTCAAGTGATCCTCTTACTTCATCTCCTGAGTAGCTAAAATTACAGGTATGTGGCACCATACCTGGCTAATTATTTTTAATTTAATAAGTTTATACCTAAAAGTAGCCACTCTTTTTTGTTAGCTGCTGAGAATCATTCTATTTCTATTATACTTTTTTCCATCTCTTAGTAAGATTTATTTTCTCTTTAAAGCAATTTTCTTTTTCTTTTTTATATATTCTAACCAGTGTCATGTGATACTAAAAATTTTCTCTCTTTAAAAAAAGTAGCAGGATAAACAATTTGTGCTAATCTTTTCCATAAAATCATAAAGATAAAAATGAAATTATATAGAACTTGTAGTTTTTAGGTATCTTTTTCCTTTTAGAAGGATCATTAATTTTGTTTTCTTAGGCATCTAATATGATGTGAGTACTCATGAATACTACTTATGGCCAGCGATCATAGCAAGGAAAGGATATAGTATTTGACTGGAACTGTCTTGGGCCATATTTGTATTTTCAGAAGTTCCTGTGAAATCTAGTGACTGAGATAGTTCATCATCTTGGATTGTTAGAGTGGATGGGGAATACTGATCAAGTGTGATACATAAGCATTAAAATGGAAAATCTTCACCTTTCCAGTTTGTTTTGGATCTTTCTATCATTTGGCTGCTTTCTCTTTAAAGTGCTCTCCTTGGCTTTGCTTTTGCTTTATTCATGTGACTGGCTACATACCTGTTTATTGCTTCAGACTTTACTTTTAAATTCTTTTTTAGACTCCCCCCGGCCCCACCCACTGCTTAAAAAAAGAAAAAAAATTCTTTTTTAAATTTTTATTTATTTATTTTTAAATATTAATTTCCTTTTTTAAGAGGTGGGGGTCTCGCTGTGTTGACCAGGCTGGTCTTAAACTCCTGGTCTCAAGCGATCAGGCATGAGCCACCATGCCTAGCCATTATTTCTTCATTAATTTGCTTCCTAAAAATTTGTTCCTTCCCTCTGTTTTTCTCTTGCCTTTTTTTCTATATCATGTTTACAGAGCTTTGAAGTAGTAATTATGCTTAATTATCATAAACTTGTTGAATATCAAAGGAGGAGGAACCTAGTTGTGAAAATCTTTGAATACCAAGGAGTTTGGATTTTATTCTCTTACCAAGAATGCTGGATTTGGCTGGGTGCTGTGGCTCACCCTTTTAATGTGAGCACTTTGGGAGACTGAGGTGAGAGGATAGCTTGAGGCCAGGAGTTCAAGACTAGTCTGGGCAACATGGCGAAACCCTATCTCTATAAAAATTACAAAAATTAGCCTGGCATGGTGGTGTGTGCTTGTAGTTCCAGCTACCTGGGGGGCTGAAGCAAGAGGATCACCTGAATCCAGGAGGTCAAGGCTGCAGGGAGCTCTGATTGCACCATTCACTCCAACCTGGGCACCAGAGCAAGACCCTGTCTCAAAAAAAAAATTGCTGGATGGAGTTTTACAAAGGCAATTGCCAAAACAGTGAGAAGAGTGGATAGGAAAGGGATTAAGACTGAAAACAGGCAGAGCTGTGTGAATAAAATTTTAGGTTTAGGTGAGAGATGATGAGAATTAAGAACGGAGGAAGGAGAGAAGACGGTAGAATCATAGGAACATGTATCACATGGTAGTATGTTTAAGAGGAAGGAGGAAAGGATACGTTGATTGAACAAATAAATCAATAAATAGTTTTTTAATGCTTCCAAATAGGTTAGGTATTGCGAGTGTTTTATAAATCTATTACAGCATCAGTTTAATTGGGAATACAGTACCACACAGTGAAATAATGGGAGTGTAAGAGGTAAATTACTCTGAGCAGGAGCAATTTCTGGCAGCTTTATAGAGAAGGTAAGAATTGAGTTTGGTTTAGAGCTTATGCTATTAAGGTCAGCTGCTTTCTGTAAACTTGAAGATGAGAGTCAGTTGGTGGGAAAAGAAGCAAAGGAAAAGAGGAGATCCAGAGCAAGGTACCAGCAGCTTAACGCCATCCAGGATAGCAGCCACTTTTCTAATTAAACTATTCTATGGAAGTATCTTGAACTTTTCAGAGTTCTTGCTTATTATAATTTTTAAATATCATGAATGTCTTTCATTTCAGCAGGAATCTAACTTTCTGATGATTTGGTTTTGCAATCTTTTCATAGTGTTCCTGGAGAACAATGGAAAGGACAATTCACCACAATCCAAAAAAGGTGAAGACCAATGTTTATTTTTAACTTGTTTCATGTAGGTTTAGTAGGTTTTGTTGCTATTGATTCAAAACTATTTAAGTTCCTTAAGGATAGGATAATTACAAGTTTGTAATTAGAGTATCTGAGGAAAAAAAACCATACTTTGCCTACAGAGACTTAGCACTTATTAGTGCCCCAAATGTTTTTCCTATGAGTACTATGAGCCAATGTGAAACCTTAGAGGTGTTTTCCCCTAGAGGTTTTGGACCCAGTTGTGTTTTAGGAATTACTTCCTATTTATTTATTTATTATTTATTTCATCAATATGATATTCCACAGAATAGGAATTACTTTAAAAGTGTCATCCAAGTCAGGTGCAGTGGCTCTTGCCTGTAATCCCAGCACTTTGGGAGGCCAATGTGGGCAGATTGCTCAAGCTCAGGAGTTCAAGACCAGCCTGTACAACATTGGGAAACCTTGTCTATAGAAAAAAATACAGAAATTAGTCACCAAAATAAAAAACATTAGCTGGGCGAGGTGGCATACACCTGTTGTCCTAGCTGCTCTGGTGGTTGGGCAGGAGGATCACTTGATCCTAGGAAGTTGAGGCTGCAGTGAGCCATAATTGTAACACTGCATTCCAGTCTAGGCAACAGAGTGAGACCCTTTCTCAAAAAAAATAAAATAAAAGTCATCTAAATGACCAGTCTACTTTTTTGGGTTTTCTGGCACACTAATTTGTGATATTATCAGGTTTACAAAAAATTAGATGTAATTATCACAAAGGTTTTAATGTTCTTTTTAATTACCTTTTAATTTCCTCATTGTTCATTTTATAATTTTTTTCCCCCAGAACTTTATTTGACATATTTAAATATTATTATTTAACAATTATAATTACAGTGGTCAGTGTTCGGGCTGTGGACAAAACATAGAGTCTATTCAGCTGAGTCCAGAAGATTATGAATTTCTTAAAGGAAGAATCATGAGGGATGTGATAGATGGAGGTGACCAGTACAAAAAGACAACACCTCAGGTGAGTCTAACAGGTTTTATTGCCTTCTTGGATTGCTTGTCTATAGCAGGGGTCTGCAATCTGTGTAAAATGCCAGATAGTAAATATTTTAGGCTTTATAGGCCATTGGTCCCCATTGCAAGTTTTCAACTCTGCCGTTGTAGTTAAAACAGCCATAGGTAGGCCGGGCATGGTTGCTCACGCCTGTAATCCCAGCATTTTGGGTGGATCACGAGGTCAGGAGTTCAAGATCAGCTTGGCCAAGATAGTGAAACCCTGTCTCCACTGAAAATATAAAAATTAGCTGGGCATGGTGACGGGAACCTGTAATCCCAGCTACTCCGGAGGCTGAGGCAGAGAATTGCTTGAACCCAGGAGATGGAGGTGGCAGTGAGCCGAGATCCTGCCACTGTACTCCAGGCTAGCAGCAGAGCAAGACTCCCTCTCAAAAAAATAAAAAAAAAATTTAAAAATGATAATAATTTTTAAAAAACAGCCATAGGTAATATATAAATGAATAGACATGGCTGTGTTCCAGTAAAACTTTATTTATGAAAACAAGCAGTAGGCTGGATTTGGCCTGCTGGCTATAGTTGCCAACTTTTCAGAGAGATTGCCTTAGAATTTCATAGAATATTTAGGTTAGACCATCATCTGTTGAAGTCAATCCTATTATATCTGGGCATAATAAGTGCAGTTAAACTAAAAAGATGCTTATTCTTCTGTAAGTGCTTCCAGAAAACTATGTTTAAATAGACTTCCATGAAGACATTATGGTTTCTCACAACTTTTCTAGTCAAGAGAGTTTACAGTAATTTAAGAAGATTACAAATATTCTTAGTAACACATTGACTGATTTGTGTATGTGGAACCATCCTTATGTCCCAGGGATAAATCCCACTTGGTGATGATGAACGATCTTTTTAATGTATTGTTGAATTTGGTGTGCTAGTATTTTGTTAAGGACTTTTTCATCAATATTGATCAGAGATATTGGCCTGTAGTTTTCTTTTTCTGATAGGTCTTTGTCTGGTTTTGGTATCAGGGTAATACTAGCCTCATTGAATGAGTTTGGAAGTCTCCCTCCTCTAATTTTTGGAATAGTTTGAATAGGATTGGTATTATTCTTTAAATGTTTGGTAGAATTGAACAGTAAAGCCATCTGGTCCTGGACTTTTCTTTGCTGGGAGACTTTATTATGGCTTCAATCTCATTACTTGTTATTGGTCTCTTCAGGTTTTTTATTTCTTCATGGTTCAATCTTAATAGATTGAATGTATCTAGGAATTTGTCCATTTCTTCTAGACTTTCCAATTTATTGGTATATAGTTGCTAATAGTAGCCACTAATGATCCTTTCAATTTCTGCAGTATTTGTTATAATGTCTCCTTTTTCATCTCTGATTTTATTTATTTGGGTCTTCTCTCTTTTTTTCTTAGTCTGGCTAAAGGTTTATCAATTTTGTTTAACTTTTCAAAAAACCAACTTTTCGTTTCATTGATCTTTTGTGTGGTTTTCCTTTTTTTTGAGACAGAGTCTTGCTCTGTCACCCAGGCTGGAGTACAGTGGCGCAATCTTGGCTCACTGCAACCTTTGCCTCCTGGGTTCAAGAGATTCTCCAGCCTCAGCCTCCTGAGTAGCTGGGATTACAGGCCCTTGCCACCATGCCAGCTAATTTTTGTATTTTTAGTAGAGACGGGGTTTTACCACGTTGGTCAGGCTGGTCTTGAACTCCTGACCTTGTGATCCACCTGCCACCTCAGCCTCCCACAGTATTGGGATTACAGGCGTGAGCCACCACGCCAGGCCTTGTATGGTTTTCTTAATTTCAATTTTATTTATTTCTGCTCTGATTTTTATTATTTAGTCTCCCAATTTTTGATTTGGTTTACTCTTGCTTTTCTAGTTCTTTAAGATGTATATTTAGGTTGTTTATTTGAAGTTTTTCTTCTTTTTTTTGTTTGAGATGGAGTCTTGCTCTGTCATCCAGGCTAGAGTGCACTAGCTCGATCTTGGCTCGCTGCAACGTCCACCTCCCAGATTCAAGTGATTCTCCTGTCTCAGCCTCCCGAGTAGCTGGGATTACAGGAGTGTACCACCATGCCTGGCTAATTTTTATATTTTTAGTAGAGATGGGGTTTCACCATGTTAGTCAGGCTGGTCTCAAACCCCTGACCTCTAATTTCAAAGTGCTGGGATTACAGGCGTGAGCCACAGCACCTGGCCTCTTCTTTTTTGATATAGGCACTAATAGCTGCTTTTGTTGTATCCCACAAATTTTGGGATGTTGTGTTTCCATTATTATTTGATTCAAGAAAATTTTCAATATCCTTCTTAATCTCTTTATTGACCCACTGGTCATTCAGGAGCATATTGCTTTTTTTTGAGACAGAGTCTCGATCTCGGCTCACTGCAACCTCTGCCTCCCAGATTCAAGCGATTCTCCTGCCTCAGCCTCCCAAATACCCAGGACTACAGGTGCACGTACCACCACGCCCAGCTAATTTTTTTGTATATTTAGTAGAGACAGAGTCTTAACATGTTGGCCAGGCTGATCTTGATCTCTTGACCTTGTGAGTCACCCTCCTGGGCCTCCCAAAGTGCTGGGATTACTGGCGTGAATCACCATGCCTGCCCCAGGAGCATACTGTTTAATTTCCAATTATTTGTTTCTAAAATTCCTCTTGTTATTGATCTGTCGTTTTATCCCATTGTGATCAGAGAAGATACATATTATTTCAGATTTTTTGGATGTTTTAAGACAGCCGTTGGATGAAATGTTCTATAAATATCTATTAGATACATTTGGTCAGTAGTGCAGTTTAAGTCTATATCTCTTTGCTGATTTTCTGTTGGGATGAAAACCAACAGAAAATTGATTGGGGAAAGTGGAGTGTTGAAGTCTTTAGCTAGTATTGTATTGGTGTCTGTCTCTTTCTTTAGCTCCCATAATATTTGCTTTACATATTAGGGTGCTCCAGTTTTGGTGTCTATATATTTTCAACTGTTACATCCTCTTCTTCAGTTGACCTCTTTATTATTATTTAGTGATCTTCTTTGTCTCTTCTTATCATTTTTGTCTTGAAATCTATTTTGTCTGGGCCAAGTGTGGTGACTCACGCCTGTAATCCCAGTGCTTTGGGAGGCTGAGGTGGGCAAATCATGAGGTCAGGAGTTCAAGACCAGCCAGGCCAACATGGTGAAACCCCAGCTCTACTAAAAATACAAAAAATTAGCTGGGTGTAGTTGTGGGTGCCTGTAATCCCAGCTACTTGGGAGGATGAGGCAGGAAAATCACTGAAACTCGAGAAGTGGAGGTTGTAGTAAGCCAAGGCTGTACCACCACTGCACTCCATCCTGGGTGACAGAGTGAGACTCCATCTCAAAAAAAAAAAAAAAAAAGAAAAGAAATCTATTTTATCTGATATAAGTATAGTGACTCCTGCTCTTTTTTGGTTTCCTTTGGCATAGAATATCTTTTTCTTTTCCTCTTTTTTCAGTCTCTGGTGTCTGTATAGTTATAGCATGTTTCTTGTAGACAACAGATCATTGGGCCTTGTTTTTTTAATCCATTCAGCCACTCTGTGCCTTTTCTCTTTTTTTTTTTAAGAAAAAAAAATGCTAAGGAGTACTTCAGTCACAAGGAAAAGGATGGCTAGCTGTGGTGGCTCACGCCTATAATCCCAGCAGTTTAGGAGGCAATGGTGTGATCTGTGCTTACTGCAACTCCCACCTCCTGGGTTCAAGCAATTTTCCTGCCTCAGCCTCCTGAGTAGCTGGGATTACAGGCACCCACTGCCATGTCCGGCTAATTTTTTTTTTGTATTTTTAGTAGAGACAGTGTTTCACCATGTTGGCCAGGCTGGTCTTGAACTCCTGACTTCAAGTGACCCACCTGCCACAGCCTCCCAAAGTGCTGGGATTACAGTTGTGAGCCTCCACACTGGCCTTAGTATTTCTTGTAGGATAGGTCTGGTGTTGATTAAAACTCTCAGCTTTTGTTTGTCTGGGAAAATCTTTATTTTTCCTTCATGTTTGAAGGATATTTCACTGCATGTACTATTCTGGGGTAAAAGTGTTTTTCCTGCAGCACTATAAGTATGTCATGCCATTCTTTCCTGGGCCTGTAAGGTTTCTACTGAAAAGTCTGCTGCCAGATGTTATATTTATTTATTTTTCCTCTTGTTGCTTTTAGGATCCTTTTGTTGTTGTTGTTTGAGTCACAGTCTCTCTCTGTCACCCAGGCTGGAGTGCAGTGGCTCGATCTCAGCTCACTGCAACTTCTGCCTCTTGGTTCAAGTGATTCTCCTGCCTTTGCCTCTGAGTAGCTGGGATTACAGGCATGCACCACCACGCCTGGCTATCTTTTGTATTTTTAGTAGAGACAGGATTTCACCATGTTGGCCAGGCTGGTCTTGAACTCCTGACCTCAGGTGATCTGCCTGCCTCAGCCTCCCAAAGTGCTGGGATCACAGGTGCAAGCCACCTGGCTGAGACTTTCTTTTTTTTTTCAATTTAGTTTTCTCTGGAGACAGCATTTCGCTCTTGTTGCCCAGGCTGGAGTTCAATGGCATGATCTTGGGTCACCACAACTTCCACCTTCTGGGTTCAAGTGATTCTTCTGCCTCAGCCTCCAAGTAGCTGGTATTACAGTCATGTGTCACCATGCCTGGCTAATTTTGTATTTTTAGTTATGACAGGGTTTCTCCATGTTGGTCAGACTGGTCTCAAACTCCTGACTTCAGGTGATCCAACCACCTTGGCCTCCCAAAGTGCTGGGATTACAGGCATGAGCCACTGCACCCAGCTGATCCTTTCTTTACTCATTGAAAGTTGGATTATTTCCAACTGTAATCCCAGCCTTTGGTAGGCCGAGGCAGGCAGATCAATTGAGTTCAGGAGTTTGAGACCAGCCTGGTCAACATGGTGAAACCCCGTCTCTACTAAAAATAAAAAAAATTATCCAGTCCTGGTGGTGCATGCCTCTAATCCCAGCTACTGGGGAGGCTGAGGCAGGGAAG